ATGTCGCGTATTGTACACAACAGGCCACAACGGCCGTATAAGACAAGGTACAATAACACAGTTATCAACAGTTATTCGTGAAACTGGCGAAAACAGTTACTCTTCTTTGAAAGGCAAAGATTTGCATTGCACTTAGTGCATACAAAAACAGTTTGTCCTTTGCACCCTGGACGCTTGCACCTCTGCCTCACACCATGTGCCGGCCAGTGACCAACAGAGTCTGTGCGAACATCCTGAGTTGGCACAGGCTTAGCAGGTCCCCTCTTCTTCTTGCGCTGCAGCTCTGCCTCCATACTGGTTGATGGTCTGCCACGCTTCTTTGCTGTCATGTCTTTGCCTTCACGACAAAGAGCATCAGCTATTTCAAGCTTGAAGGCCATAAGATCCTTCTGCTGACGCTTATCAACTCCCATATCACGACAATCCCGGCGATACAGTAACCAGCCAGTTGCCACTGCCAAGTCCACAAAATGGAAAAAAAAGCGGTGGTAATATTTCTTTGATTTCAAGTGGATCCGATACCTCGCCATGATGGCATCCAGGGTATCAACTCCTCCCATGAACTTGTTGTAGATCTGTATGATTTCTGGGCGTGGCACGTCAATATGCTGCTTTGTAGTACGATCCCACCGCCTCGCAGTTGACACTGGTTCTGCACTAGCAAATGTACTGGCTAGTGTTACAGACTTGTTGTCAAACCACTTGACAACTCGAACTTCGACACCATTGACCACACCCTCTCTTTCTTCAAATGAGCCACGCCCTTTCTTCTTCAGAGTTGCATCAGCAATCATCTTGCAATTCTGAAGACGATTCGCACGAACTGTCCCAACTGCTAATATGTTCCTATTAGCTAGGGCTGACAGCAACTTCAGTGACGTAAACCAATTGTCAAAAAACAACAGGTACTGCTTCTCTTGCGGCAAGACCTCGACCAGCTGAAGCACAATGTTGCCACTGGCACCAATGTTTGCTTGATTGGATGCTGCCTGAATCTTTCCAGTGTATATTATGAAATTATGCACAATTCCAGTCACATCACACAGCATAAACACTTTATAGCCCCATTTGTAGGGCTTGCTCGGAATGTACTGTTTCATTCCCGACTGTCCCTTGAATGGGATAATTTGTTCATCCACTGACAACTTATGGTCAACTTCCAGTGAATGGAACTTTGGCAAGAGAGAGTCAATCAACGGACGTATTTTGAACAATTTATCTCTCTGAACGTCATCTGGAGCAAGCATATTTCCATTGTCGTTGAAGTGAAGATTACTTTTCAGTTCAACCCACCTGTCACGTGACATCACATCTGCAACCTGTGACAAACGCGATGCTTTGCCCCAGTACATCTTACTTCTTGGCAGATTAAAAATAGACATGTACATAGTCATACCAAGAAACTGTTCAATTTCATCCTTGGAACAACCAATAGGCTTATTTACATCTTTTTGTGTTGCATACAGATTGGTGTGATCAGTAATGTGTTCCACCAACCCACTGTCAAAGAAGTAACGAAAGTACTCCACTGGCGACTTTATGGTATCAGCAGAAGCACGTTGATCAGCAGACTCTGGCATTGACTTTGCAGATGATTGGCCAGTAACACATTTCCAAACAGTAGATCTTCCAACAGCAGCAGAAGTGGAAGGCTGCTCATCATCGCTGCTGTCTTGCTGGTCAGATACTTCGTATTCTTCTGTATCGTCACCAGATGATACTTCAGCAACTTCATTGTCACTCGACGAGAGCTCATCATCATCACTTTCTGCAGGAATGTTACGAACAAAACGAGCTGTTGTAGCAGTCTTCTTGTAGAACTGAACAGGCTTCATCTAAAATCAGAATACAATTTATGCTATGATTAGTATTGGTATCTAGTATTATATATCACTATGTTTGCAATAAAAAATACAAAAAAAATATAAAATATGCACAGATACAAAAATAATATCAATATCACTACTAACAGAACAATCATTATAGTAAATACTATATCACAAATAATAATAGTAATAATATTACAAATCATAATATAGCCCAAACTTGCCCTAATTACTAACTCTAGCCTAACCCTAAGTCGCACCTCAGACACTCTATAAAAGTATAGCAGATATAATTGGTATCTATAAGAACACTAAACAAATATATAATAACTATACTAAAACATGGCTATGATACTATTGTAGCTGCTTGTATTACCAGCAATAATAATAATAATATTAGTAATAAATTATTATTATTATTACTACTATTAGTATTATAATTATTATTCCTAGTAGTAATAAAATTGAACACTATTATGAACATGGTAAAATATAAATATATTTCACCATAACAAATCATAAACAAATAATCTGTCATTCCAGCATGTTATATCACACAATACTAAGCTGAAGAGTGTCAATTTTGTATCTGTTATATTCAATGCTATGCCCGATTGTGTATAATTCCACACATACAAAAAACACCACATAAAAATTTATTCCTGCAATCCAGCTACAAATTCAAGGTACTACTATACAAAGACACCACTACTACATAAAATCCATAACATTTCATGGTTATAACTAACCTGTATAACTCGGAATAGTCAGGTCTTCCGTCTCGTAGTAACACCGTAGACCTTCTCACAAAATCCCTGTAAACAAAGCTCGAGCCAAGAATCCAAAGTAAGAACGTCATTGGTTCAACGATTTTATCGTCATCCTAGGTATGTGTACAATACGCGACAACCGGTCATAACGTTCTAAACGCCACTGCTATTAAAGCAGCGCGTGGATCTCGGTATGTGTAAAATTCTACACAACCGGCCAGAAAGGGTTAACAAAGTAAATCTATTTAGGACCCGTATTATCAATACTGCAATTAAGAATTTATTAAAGAATATAATTGTATTAAGAAAGTTAAATAAGAAAATCTAAAAATTCTGGTGGAAGAGCAAGTTCCTTCTTTGATTCAGAACTTCGACTCATAGAAGTATTGAAGGGCAGGGCCGTCCCGAGGGGGAGCGTAGGGGTGTCTAACCCCCCTACGAATTTTTTCGTCGGCAAATTGGAACTGGAGTCGGAAAAATTGGATCTATAGTTGGCAGTCGGGAAATATCGGAAAGCGAGGACCTTTTTTTTTTTTTTTGAGCAATCAAAAAAATTTTTTTTGGCTGTAGTCGGCTAAAAGCAGACACGTCACCGCCCCCCCCCCTCCTTTAAAATCTCTTCGGGACGGCCCTAAAATGATCGGCTAAAATTATAAAAATTGAAAAATTAGACGATCAAATAATTTTCCGGACAATCAAACTTTTTTTTAGTTTCTATCAAATTTTTATAATTGTTGTACTTTTTGCTTCACGCTTTTAATTTTTGTGCTTGATAGCACTGCTTATTCCGCAGAATTTCCATTTTGTTTAAAATTCCGAAATTATAAAAAAATTAAAATAAAAACTTATACCGGACCTTGTTTCAAAGTGTCACGTTATAAATACAAACGAGCTTTTTAAACAATTTTTTTTAAGCGTTTCGGAAGTTTTCAAATTAAGAGTGGAATTATTTACAGAAATATTAGAGCATTTTGATATGGAACAGTTCTCGTTGCTAAACATTATTCTAGACGCAGAACACCCAGTAAAGAAAAATTTTAGAAAGCGGTATAAAATCGAACGTATCTTGATGATATTCGCGTATATTGAATATATAATTATGTCGATTACTTTAGTGGAAAATCAACTTCATAAGGACTTTAATAAATTGCTTTCTAGCTCCAAACAGGTTAGTCCACAAATTTATTAATCACCAGATATAAAAATCATGGCAGATTTGAATTCATTTAAAAGGAAAATACGATGAACTGCAAAAAATAAATAGCGAAATTGTAAAAAATCAAGATGCGTCACAATCAAACGCAAGTAATCGTAAACCACAAGAAGTTGTAAAATCTATTGTTTCAAATTCAATTAGTTATCATTCTGCAAACCAAAAAAATATAATGCAAGATGTTCCAGTATACTCCATTGCAGAGGATTCTAGTTTAAATGGTCATTGTAGAAATAAAATTCCTACACTACGAGATTTCTACGCTACCATGGTTAAAATGCAAAAACCTAAACCGCCAAGGGAAAAAGACTTCATAGCAGACTTTCAAAATTTCAAAGTGATAGGTAAAAATAACAAAGTTGCAAAGAATCAAATAGATAAGCAGAGGATAGAACCTGTTTTTGGAAATAAAGCTGTTAACAACAGAAGCTCGATTGCAGGGCAACGCATTATTCAAGAGTCTTATATATTTGTAGGCGGAGTTTGTAATTCCATATCCAAAGAAGGTTTATCAAACTGCATGAATAAAGAAATAGGTATTACACCTTTAGAAATCAAGCTAAAATGCATTCTTTGTGCGAAGATAATTATTTCAAAATATAACAATTATCTGCGAAGATGATCATATATTTTCATTAGAATTAACCAAAAATCATACCAGCAATATTACTATTGGTATTTACCTATCTTCATCACGTAACAATGAAATATCGCTGGAAGAATACAAAAGTTTTTAAAAGGTTTTAATAACCTGAACCTCACAACTGGCAGTTATGAAAACGAGCTAAACTAAATTTATAAAATCATTATCATATGGAGATCATTGCAAATACCTCAACCAGAAAAAACAATCTATTTATTCCAAACCCTGGTGAACTCCTGATTTAAGCCTAAATAAAAAAGTTTTTTCGTATCATTTTCAAAAATGGAGAAATACCGGGTTTTCAAAATGTTCTAATTCTATGACTTATAATATGTATAAAATGGCTCAAAAAAACCTCCGAAAAGCCGTTAAGTTAGCTCAAAATAATAAACTCTACAAGCAATACGTGGTTATTGAAAAGCTAAAAAATATCAAACCAAAAAACTTTTGGAATGCACTTAGAAGTATAAAAAAAGATACAGACTCATGATTATTTACAATAAACAATAAAAAGGATAACAAAACTCCACACCACAGAATTTTCAAATATGATTGAAAAGTTGTTAAACACTCTTCGAATAACGCAAAACAATAAAACTCGAAAAATCCCACCGTGCACAAAGCATGATAATGTAATAATAACCGAACAAAATATTAAAGTAGCTATTTCTGCCTTAAAATCAAACAAGTCTAGCGACTCATTTGGTATCTCAGCTGAACATTTAAAACACGCAAATTGTGACGCATTGACACAATGGCTAATTAATTTTTTAAATTTCTCAATCAATTATGGTTGGACTCCAAAATCAATGTCCTTATCTATCATTATACTACTAGTTAAATCATATAAAAAGTTTTTGGTAAACCTAAACAACTATCAATGTATTAGTATAATACCTATTTTTACAAAAATTCTAGAATATCTGATTTTAATAATTTGTGCGGAGATCAAGAATACTCACCCGCAACAATTTGGGTTTAAATCTAACTCTTCAACCCTACATGCAGAATTTGTAATTAGTGAAACTATTAAACATTACAATAGTAAAAATTCACCTATTTATTTATGCTCCTTGGATGCCGAAAAGGCCTTTGATAGCTGTAACTGGAAAATTCTCTTTGATAAATTGTACTTTGATAAAAAACTACTTTTGCATATAGTTAGGACAATCTCTTCATTATACAATAATAGCAGTGCAACTGTCTCATACCAAGGTTGCAAAACAAATGAATTTTATCTTAAACAAGCAATAAGACAAGATTTAATTCTTTCACCGCACTTTATAATATTTATAACCACAACCTGCTCAAAACCATTAAAAAAATAAAGTAATATAGGTACGTCTATATATGGTAACTTTACTGGTGTGGTAGCGTATGCTGATGATATTATACTTTAAGCTCAACTCTATCTGGTTTGGAAAAATTAATCAAAATTTGTAATGTATACTGTAATTCAAATTTCGTAAAACTAAACCCTGATAGAACAGAATTACTCCTGACAGGTAAAAGACAGTTACAAGTTTGCTCGATATCTCTCGATGGTAATCAAATAAATTTACACAATAGACTAAAACACTTAGGGTATACATGCGATACGGAGCACTCTATATTTGCCTCACTTGATCGGGTTAACATTGCTGAAAAAATATCTAATTTTAGGGCAGCTTTCCAAACTCTTATTCAATCTGGAATCCGTTTTGCTCATCCAAAATCCATCATACAGTTATATCAAACCTTAATAGTACCAACATTTACTTACGGAACTTTGTAAAACCAATGATGTAACAATGCAAAACCTAGACAGAATTGGAAGGAGCACATTAAAATTGTTTTTCAACTTTTCAAAACATTACACAAGGGTAAAAAATTTTCATAAACAAGGGTTGCACCCTGCATCACCAATTTTGATGAAATTTGGCACAATTGTTTAAAAATATAAGTTAGGAAAGACTGCAAAATTTTTTCAAAAAATTCTCAACCCTTTAAGATTTACAGAAACTTGAAGTTAGTTATTTTTTGACTGAAAAAAGAGGGGGGATAAAGCCAGAAATATGTCAAATTACCATTACCCTTTTAACAAACTTGTAGTAATGTTGCGAAGCTTAAACTTGGTACCAAAGGAGTTTAAAACCTGCTGAATCTGAAAATCATAAACTTATATCTCTCAAAACAATAAAATATAGTTTATTTTTAGATCCACAAAACGCACTTGTTAATGACAATAAAAAAGGCCATTGACAACTATAGTTCTAGAAAATATATATATATATATATATATATATATATATATATATATATATATATATATATATATATATATATATATATATATATATATATATATATATATATATATATAAAATATGTAAGTTGATTTTAATAAAAAGGCAGCGTATAACTATTTTTAAATATATTTTGATGTAAAAATATATCAACGATATTTCGCTGACCTATTGTGGTCAGCGTCATCAGGTAATAATAAAAAACGTTACAAAATAACATAAAAACAAACCGTTTAAAAAGAAGACATTAAAAAGCGTCAAATATAAAAACCAATTAAATATAATAATGACGTCAGTTAAATTTTTGTCAAAATGGGTCCCCAAGTTCTTGTTTTAACCTTATCCCCGTCATCTCGATTTAGAACACCTTCCCCAATACCTATCTCACATCGAACTTTCGCTTTGTTAATCTCCAGAGATTCTCTAATTTTTCGTATCTTGTATTCTTGAACGACTGCCAAGGTCTTAGGATTTAGCCAATCAAAGTTACCACGGCATGTTTTGGAATGTTCCGTGGCTCCTGAACTCGACCATTTTTGATTTTTGCAAGCTCTTTGGTGTTCTGCACTTCTTGAAATGATTTTCTTTTTGGTCTCACCAATATATATATTTCCGCATGAGCATTTAAGTTGGTAAACCCCCGGATTTGAGTTCGGAGGTAGTTTAGTTTTGTTGTTGCATAATATATTACTTAAACTAGGAGCTGAAGTAAATATAACTCTGATGTTTTGTTTTTTAAATTCTCTTCGGAGTTTTGGGCCAATAATAGGTATCCAAGGTAGTTTAACAAACTTTTGATCTAACTGATTAGATGTAGTATTTTTTGAAATGCCGTCTAAATAGTTTTTGGTTATTTTAATAAGATTATTTTTATTATAGCCGTTTTCAAAAAATGTATTTATGAGGAAATCAATTTCTTGTGAGAGATATTTTTGAGAGCAGATTTGTTTTGCTCGACATAAAAAACCTTTACAGACGCCAATGGTTATGCTCGGGTTGATGTTGGAGTTTGGTTTTATTTGAACATTATCGCATCCTTACGGTGTATTTGAAACTCATAAAATCCATTCATTGTATTTGTAATACAAATATCTAAAAAAATTAAGTTGTTTTCTTTTGTTTTCAAGTTCAACGGTATATTTTATGGAGGGGTTTTGTTCATTTAAAGCTTTAAGAAATAATTCTTGCTTTTCTTTTGAATCGAAGCGAGCATGGCTATCATCCACATATCTTTTATAAGTTATTGGTTGGAATGAATTAACAAAGGCTATATCAAGTGCTCTTTTTTCTATATTTTGCAAAAATGCTTCAGCTATGACTACCATCAATGATAAACCAATTGGACCTGAATTAGGTAAAATTCAGATTTTATCTTCGTATAAAAAGTAACATATGCTTAACGATAGTTCAATTAATTGGTGTATATCTATGAGAGTTAATTTAGTCCTAGTTTTTAAATCTTCAAGATCATCGTTCAATATGTTAATAATTAACAGGAATTGCTTCATTGATCGGTACGGATGGATATAAATTAATTACATCGAAAGAAACCTGAATTTCATTAGGGTCTATCTTCCATTCTTTAGCATCGTTGACAAAGTTTCTTGAATTAATTAGTCGAGTTATGTTTTTGTTTAATGTTGGTTGGATAATTTTAACCAGATACTCAGATGTTCCATAAGGAGGTGAGTTAATAGTGAAAACAACAGGACGCATTGGGTAGTTTTTTTCCGGTTTGTGTGCTTTAACCATTCCATAGATTCTAGGTGGAACGCAATCTGATGGATACATTTTAAAATAAGTAGCATTCTCTAACTTACCTTGTTTTCTTAATTTACCTAATAGTTTTTGAAATTTAGTAGTGAATTTGGGTGTTGGGTCGTAATCAATAATTTTACTATTTTTTATTTGTTCTTCTAATTTCGCTTTTGCTTCATTTTCGCATAATAAAGCAAAACCTGTTCCTTTGTCAAACGGATATATCTTTAGATGTGAATGTTTTTTCAGGTTTTGTAAAGAAAGGCGTTGTTGTTTTGTTAAATTATCTTTTATTTTTAACTTTAAAGAACTGGTTAGAATTTTGGAGCAGTTTTGTCGAAGAATCTCTGCTTGTGTTTGTTTATTTTGTTGTTCGAGTTCCAAGGCGCAAGTTTCAATATTAGTGATTATGTCCATATAAGGGATGTTCTTTTGTATTGGGACAAATTTTGGACCAAGATTAAGTAGTTCAGTAGTTGCTTTATCAAGATTAATATTTGTTAAATTTAGTATAGCTGGTTTTAAAATTTGGTTAGGACGATTTTTTTCAAAATTAATTTTATAACTGATGTCATTTTTCAATTTATAGAATTTTTCTTTCATTTTAGTTTTTTTTAAAGAATAATGGTAGTTCGTAGATTTGTTCGTTACATTACTAATTATCTCATAGTCATTAGATCTTATTTGAGATTGAAGATATAAATTTAATTCATCAATTAAAGCTTTTATATATATATATATATATATATATATATATATATATATATATATATATATATATATATATATATATATATATATATATATATATATATATATATATAATGTAACTTGTATATATATATATATATATATATATATATATATATATATATATATATATATATAATGTAACTTGTATATATATATATATATATATATATATATATATATATATATATATATATATATATATATATATATATATATATATATATATATATATATATATATAATGTAACTTGTTTAACATTAATGTGTTTGGCTTCCATAATATAGTTTGGTGTCAAAATTCTAAATGAATGTGGTGTTCGGAAATAGAGTTTTTTGTCTTTTAGAAATTTTCTTGGCCCACTTATCCTGTTTGGCCTTGGGCAAATGTGGACTGTGGTTACATCCTATCTGCACTGTGGGTAAATTTTATATTTTGGTTATTAATTATCTTAAACGTAAATAAAAATAAAATATGACTTGTTAAGTATAAACCGGCCGGCACAAGTTGTACAAGAAGGAAAGGTACACTACAGTAGAAAAAAAGGTAGACAAGAAAATTAGAAGGTTGTTTATTGCGAGAGAAATTGATAAAGTTAAATAGTAGGGAGCTCAATTTATTTGGTATTTAATGGTATATACTAATTTTGAATATAAAATAAGTTGAGAATATTGTATGAATTGTCTCATAATCGTTTGAACTGTATAATAAAATTTTTAATGATAAAAAGTACATTAAATAGCTATGTTTTTTAGGTTTTCAACAACAAGTTCATGGCATTCCAAAAAAGTTGTTAAATGAGCGATATATCCAAGAATTTGTCTTTACCAACAACTTGAAATTCTTAACAACCTCCAGTATCTTTATTTGACATTGAGTGTATAAAATGGAAAGAGAGGTTTATCCTGTTTGAAGAAAATATGAAAATGGATTTATTACTTAAACAAAAAGTAAGATTAGTTAATATGCTGGTATTATTATTTGTATCAAATAATGGTGTTTGCTTATACTTAATTTATTTTATATAATTATATGTGTGTGTGTGTGTTAAGGCTCTTAGATACTGCTAGTTTAATGTGACTTTTACTTCTTAGGTTGTAAAACTAAAAGGCTTGATTACAAAGATACGATTAAGTACATAATGAAAAGATTTGCCATGCGTGAAATAAAGGGTACCGAAAGTCGAAATAAGTTAGCTTTTGGGTTAACCGAGAATTACACAATAGTACATGAAATAATGACGTTTAAGTTCCCGAAAATGACAAAAAATGAGTTTTATCAAGCTATTCAGAACTTACTTAGAAATGCCCCTGCACGAGCAAAAAAGAGAGCTGTATAAAAATGACAGTTGTATACACAAATTTGTTAAATGTTTAATTGAAGATATACAATCTCTTTTATGTTTTGGTTATGAATTATCTTAAAGGTATAAAAATAACTTAAATATAATAAACTATAACTTTAAATATAATTTTAAGTGCCGAATATATTGAGTGAGCGTCTATTAGACGTCTTAGCAAGACGTCTTAAAGGT